CAGAAATACTTAACAACATGACCCCTGAGCTTTAAGAATCAGGAGGGGGCAACTCGGTTCTTCCTGAAAATTGTCAGATATAACCTGAGAAGATGGTTTGCTACTCTTTTGACAGAGAAAACCCTACAAAACCATGCAAATCAAGAGGTTCAAATCTTTGTGTTCACTTTAAGAACACCCAGGAACCTGCCCAGACCATCAAGGGAATGCATTTCCAAAAAGTCACCAAGTATCTGAAAGATGTCACTTTAAAGAAGCAGTGTGTAGCATTCCGGTGGTATAATGGTGGAGTCGAGATGTGTGCCCAGGCCAAACAGTGGGGCTGGACTCAGGGGCAGTGGCCAAAAAAAAAAAAAAAAAAAAAAAAGCTTAGTTTTGGCTGAACGTGCTTAAAAATGCTGAGAGTAACGCTGAACTTAAGTTTAGATGGAGATTCTCTAGTCACTGACCATATCCAGGTGAACAAAGCACCTAAGATACACCATCAAACATACAGAGCTCATGGCCGGATTAACCCATACATGAGCTCCCCCTGCCACAGTGAGATGAACCTCACGGAAAAGGAACAAATTGTTCCAAAGCCAGAAGAGGCTGCACAGAAGAAAAGATATCCTAGAAGAAACTGACGAAGCAAAAGCTGATGGCATGGGAATAAATTCAGCACAGAATATGTGCAGATAAAAGTTTAAAAAACAGAGGGGCAACTAGAATTATTACTAGAGTCTAAATCTCTAACATTTTTTATGAGTGTTTTGCCTGCATGTATGTGTGTATACTACATATGTGCATGGTGCCCACGGAGGCCAGAAGAGGGCATCAGATCCCTTAGAAGTGGAGTTACAGCAGGTTCTAAGCAGCTATGTGGGTGCTGGGAACTGAACCCAGGTCCTCAGCAAGAGCAGCAGTGTTCTTCATTGCTGAGTTATCCCCTTACTCCCTAGAGCCTAAACAGCAATCTACCTAAAACTCACTTATTTGCTTATATCACAGAGTGGATTAGTGAAATGCAATTTACTTATATGATTGCTATTTATAGTGAAACTACCCCTAGACAGGCAGTTCTTAAGCCTAAATGGGCTTAAGAACTAACAGATCTCTTTAAAATTGTTATTAGCACTGGGATGGGGACCAAGGATCTAGAATGTTGGTAAACAGTAGTTTGTGAAATGTATAAAGACCCCGAGTTAGGGGAACCTTAATCTTATACATTTTATGAAAAAAATCTTGGTTCTTAAATGTACATATTGCTCATTTTTGTATCAAATTGCTCACATATCTATACCCTTTCTTGTATTTCTCTCTCTTCCTCTTATTATTCATAGCCCACATGCACAGAATGTGGTACTTGACCAACAAGAGGAACTGTGAACAAAAGTTCCTGGAGAAAAACACCCCTTCCACTGAAACTTCAACAAGGCTGAATAATTAGAGCTTCCATGACCTGAGATAATGGAATGACTGTAGCCCAAGATCAAATGACCTTAGGCCACCTTTAGGTCCCTTACCTGCCTTCTTCCGTATGTGACCTAACACTTGTGACTGTTAGGTAAATCCCTGAATGTACTAGCTCCCACCAAGCAAAAGGCTAAGAATGCTGTCCTGCTGTATCGGAGGTCCACAGTGAGACCTACCTGAGGTCTCCACTGATGTATTTGAAAAGTGTCTTGATTTAAGATTTTTTTTCTTCTGTACATACAATTTGGGGTAACCTGAATCTATGGTCCCAACCATGGCCATTCATATTGGCTTCAGAATAAGTTATCTTTTATTCTCTGAATTCAAAGCTATTTTCTCATTGACATTGAGTAAGCACTTTATTTTTACTCAATCAGTCGAAAAGGTAACATAGACAGCCCTGTTTTTCTGATTTGTTTTGTTTTCTTTTTATCAACTTGACAAAAGCTATTGTCATTTCGGAAGAGGAACCTCAACTGATAAAATGCCTCTATCAGTCTGTGGACATTTTCTTGATTAATGACTTATGTAGGAGGTCCCAGCCCACTGAGGTTGGTGCCATGCCTGGGCAGATGGTCCTGGATTCTATAAGAAACCAGGCTATGCAACTGGGAGACCAAGCCAGTAAGCAGCATTCTTCCTTGGCCTCTGCATCTACTCCTGCCTCCTTGAATGTTTGCCCTGACTCTCCTCAGTGATGGGCTGTAAGCTGTAAAAGGAAATAAATCTTTTCCTTCCCAAGATGCTTTCGGTCACAGTGTTTATCATAACAAAGGAAAGCAACCTAAGACATATACCCATGTGATAGAATATTCCCAACAGTAGTTAAGAATATAAAGCAAGAAATAGATGTTTTCTTCTCTCCAGACTTGTAATTCCTTGGCCCCTTCCCCAGAGACAACAGTAATGCTGGTTAAAGCTACCATATATACCTTCGCCATTGTTTTCTAAAGCACACTAAGCATATTGTTCTAAACCACACTTCTTTGCTCACAAGCACAGTTTTAGAGATAGCCCACAATAGCACCTGCAATACTGTAACCCCTTTCACAGCCACAAACAATCCCACAAGCTACTGCACAGGCCTCTGTGGCTGGAACCTGTATGAGCCCAGCCTTCCGCTATCACAAGCAAAGCTGCACACACACAGTGGGCTCTGCCACCTGGTGCGGCTTTGCATGTGAGCTCATTTTTTATAAATGTATACAGTAAAGAACACGTACATTTTAAGCCAGATATATTGCCTAGACGCCCTGCAAACAGGGCATCCCAAACTGTCATAGGAGTGGAGATTTAGGAAGTCCGGGTACCATTCCAACAGGCTGGGTCAGAACTAAAGAGCTGCATGTGAGATAGGCCCACAAAACATAAGATTGCTAATGTCTTGTTTCAGTGATGTTTAAATGCATAGTGTAGGTCTTTATTCCTTCCACAATGTCAATGAGAAAGTAGCAATCTAGCACACTTATCAGATAAAAATATAGGTTCTAATTTTAGTGTTTTCAGTCTGAAAGCTGCATTGTACATACAGCATGGAATTACTGTAGGACACAAAGTATTTTATTCCGGGAGAACCTAGTCTTTACAGATGAACACAAGATTGAAAATTAAATTTATACCATCTTCTTAGGAAAGGTTCAACATCTATGAGCTCTCTTTCTCCTTCCTGTCCATCCTATCTTTATTCACATTTCTTTTCTTTTTTAATTTTTTATTTGAGACAGGGTTTCTCTGTGTGTAGCCCTGGCTGTCCTGGAATCACTCTGTAGACCAGGCTAACCTCCAACTCAGAGATCCGTCTCGCCTCTGCCTCTCTGCCTCTCTGCCTCTCTGCCTCTCTCTGCCCCTCTCAGCCTCTCTGCCTCTCTCTGCCTCTCTGCCTCTGCCTCCTAAGTGCTAGGCTTTAAAGGCATGCACCACCACACCCAGCTTTTCACATTTCTTTATGAGTTCTATTTCTCTTTTGTTTCACTTTCCCTGCCAAAAGGCAGACCCAACTCTTTATTTCTAGAATCATAACTGGAAGGATGAAGAGGAGTGTAGGGTTGGGATATAACAGCACAGATGGTCCAAAGCGGAACTAAAACCAAAGGCTGACTGACATCTTCAGAGTGCCTTGAGGACATGATACTGAGATTGTATTTTAACACTCTGGATGCTTAAAAACAAGCAAACAAACCTGCAATGTTTTAAAATTTAAGACCACATCAAACAAATAAAGACCCAATTCAAGAAGGACGGAAGCTGACAGCCTTCCAAGGAAGTTCACATGAGCTTTTTCTGGCTTTCCTTTATAATACAAAACATTAGTATCTTAAGTTTTCTGAAAAGAGAATATATTTTGAAAATCAGAAAACAAGCCTTTATTTTTAACCTGTAAAGCTCTGTTCTAAATGAAAGCCATCTTGCCACTGAAACCCTCCTGCATCCCCATCTCTCCCCATCTCTAACAGAGTCAACAACCAGCGATTCTTCCTCAGCTGCATGACCTCTGACCTCTCCTCATATTCACTCTCACACGTGTCATCCTTCTCATTCCCACCATTCCTCACAGCTAAGAGTCACTCTGGATCCCTCTCCCCACATCTCCGTTTCCAGCAGCGAGTCCTCCAAAATAGAAACAGAATTTCACCACTTTTCCATGAACTCAGTCCCACCACAACACCAGGCTGCCATCTGCCCCTGGTTCGACGACTAGTTTCCCAGCCCGGTTTCCTTATTTTGCCTGAGACCTCCAGCTTCCCTACCGGCAGCCCAGCAGCCTGTAATCAGACACTCCACAGCTTAAAGCCTGCAGTGGCTTCCTAGCTCAACAAGAGCGCTGAAGTCCTTACAGGAGCTCACACAGTCTAAGGGATCCGGCCTATATTCCCACAGTGCCTAGGGCGGCCTGGGCCTTAGGTCTTTTCAGGTCTTTCCACACTTCCCGCAAAGCCACTCACTAGGTTCTCACCATCCTAGCCCCCGGCCAGGTGAGCTCTTCCCTCTTCTACCGCTTATACCTGTGGTCCTCTCGGCATGACCAAAACTACTCTGCCCCGCAGGGTAACTGTATGTCTCCTTTCCTTATTTTATGTGTATAAACGTTTCGCCTGCACATACATATGGGTGCCCTGGAAGTGGGGTATACAGACGCCTGTGAGCTACCATGTGGGTGCTAGGAACTGAGCCTGGGTCTCTGCAAGAGCAACAAGTGCCCTTATCTTCTGAGACGTCTCTTCAGCCCCATGGCCTTTACTATATATATAAAACATATACATATGAGTGTGTGACCTATTATACTCACTTGTAGTATACTCTGCTTTTATTTTCTCATGGTTATTACAGTTCCTGGGTAACAAGAAGATTTACTTGTTTCGCTGCTTTTTTCCCACAACTACTCTAGCATTTTCCAACTGAGTTCATCACTGCATATAGTAAAAAGAATAAATGCGTCCACACCAGTGACTCTCCACAGATCACATGACCAGAGACTTACAATCAAGCATAAACAACACACTTGCAATAAAAGATTAGAATTGTGGGACATGCCGCATAGGACTTACCTTCTTTTAATGGTTAAGTCTGACACAGGTGTGCATCTTAGACCAGTTCCCAAGACCATGAGGAAGGACGTCAGGAGCACAGTGACACGCAGACCTGCGGAGGAGGCAAGCATCAGGGTGAATTCTCTTTCCCCTGTGGGCGCTTTGTTATGTAATCGGTCTAACATCTCATTCTAACACAGCAGCTTTTCCCTGATGCCCCCAGCAACCTGCAACGGGGAAGACACAACCTGTACACTGAAAACTAGGTGGTTTCTACTTGAGTAGAAAACTGGGATAACCACAAAGACAGAGGAGGAACCCTCTCCCTCCAATCGTCCAAGTGAAGGTCTGGAAGGTTTTATGCAGTTATTACAGCAAAAGAATGGAGAATAAATTTAAGACTATTTAGATTTTGTATCTCAGGCACATATACACACACATACACAAATAAAAGTCAAACCGAATCTTTCTATATATATATCAAATATAAAAATTCTAACTTTCAAATTCAAACTGCTAATAAAAACTACATTGTCACTAAAAAGTTATTCTAAGGTGACAGGTATATTAAGGTTTTTTGTTTTTTTCAAAAAAAGAAAAGACAATTGGCCAACTATATATTTTAGTTTATAATTGGTACAAATTAATGTTTATTATGGGGCATGGAAAGTAGTCTATTATTAATACAGTAACAGTCTGAATTCTTCTGTTTATTCAGATAGTTTTTAACTTATAAAATGATGCTGTTGGGCCTGGAGAGATGGCTCTAAAGTTAGCGGCACTTGCTGCTCTTGCTAAAGACAAAGGCTCAATTCCCCTCATCTCCACGGTGACTCACAAGTATCTATAACTCCAGTTCCAGGGGAATCAATAAAAGAGGCCCTGTCTGACCATGAACTGAAGGACTCCTAGAGCCAGGTATGGAGGCACACACCTGTAATCCCAGCAGACAGAAGCAGGTGGATCTCTGTGAAGATCTCTTTGAAGCCAGCCTGCTACAAAGCGAGTCCAGGATAACCACGGCTACACGGAGAAACCCTGTCTTGAAAAAAACCAAAAAAGTCCTAGAAGGACTCTGTGTTTGCAGAGACTGATGGACCGATTGGAACTTCAGTGCTGTGGAGTGGTTGGAATTTGCATGTTCAAAGGCTAAATACATTATCTTGGGCTAGTTTTAGCCTCTGGTACTGCCACTGCTTGCCCCACTCAGTATTGGAAATATCCTGTGACAATAAATAAAAACCTCTTAGACTCTACTGACTTAGCAGGCCTGTAGCTTCTGCCGATGCTAAAGCTAAGGACATCAGATAACATCTACACCTACACAATAGCTTCCCCCATCTCATTGTACCTGCCTCTCTGGTGTATGCACAAGTCTATTTCAACCTGTCTTGATTTATCATTTTCTTTGTTCTGTGAGACTATAAAAACTACATGTAACTGCTTCCACATTGGAGCACAGAATTTGGGGTAACCTACAATGGCTCCACAATAAACTATCTCTTATTTCCTTTAAAACGAAAGCTGTGGTTTTTTACTTCAACATGCTCTCAAGTCTCCTATTTTCCTTTCCCTCCACTGTCCACATCAGCCAATTGAGACTGGACTGTGAGGTGAACCTTCTACAAGGAGGAATGGCCAAACGCCCTCTGTGTTAGAGACAAAAGATACAGCGGCATCTACGTCACGTGTGCTCGCTGGGCAGTCTTGGAGATGTACATGTGCCTTTGTACAGATAGAAATTGCATGGCCAGCTTACTTTTGCTCAGTTCTTGTGTCTTTTTGTGTCACTCTGAGAGCAAGACCAGTATTATTCATTTCTAATACATCTTCTGACCTCTGTAGGCACCAGGTATGCCCAAGGTATACATACATACATATATATATATATGTGTGTGTGTGTGTGTGTGTGTGCAAAACAAAAAACAAATAAATAAATATGCATATATCTTAAATGATGCCATTAAAAATTAAAATCAGAAGCAAGCAAGATGGCACAGAGCTTCTTGCTGTGAGAGCCTTAGAGTTGAACTTCAATCCCTGGAAGTTCTGATGAAAAGAGAGAATGCATTCCTGAAGTGTCCTCTAAACTCCATAAATGAGGAGACCTGGCCCCCAGCCCTGCCCTGTTATATGTATCTTTTACCTCCTTATAACAAGATGCCACAGAACAATACATGGAAGCCAAGTCTTTAGTTGTGGTAATGGAGCTACTGATGCTCCCTATGTCAGGAAACCCTGCCTGGAATGTCAACTGTTACTTCCCCCAACTCTGTGTACAAGTGATCTTGGGAGATGCTAAACTATATAGGAAGCAGAAAGTTATTAAAACAGGACTCATGACCTTGTGGTGATACAGCTGCCTGGCTGTCACCCATGATTCTGTCAGTAAACTGTTGCCTGTGCTCTGTGAGAAAATCCCGTAAGTTTATTGGTCACCAAGTTGAACTTTGGTGACATCCTATTTCGGTCTGTCTCTGGTGACCATCTGGGGTGATTGGACATTAACTTGTGTCTCCCCAGGGAAAGTTAACACAACACCCCCATTATACATACACACCAACCATAATAATGAAAATTAAAAAGAAACGATTGGGAGATACTACGTAGCTCTGGCTGGCCAAGACTTTGTTCTGACCACCAGGTTGGCCTTGAACTCACAGGCCTTCTGGGTGCGGGGGTTAAAGGTATGTGTGCATTACCATGCCTGACAAGTTAAAAAATGTATGTATTTTTTAATTTAAATAGTGGCTCAAGACTTCAGGAAATAAAGTGAATCAGGTAATTTTTCCTTCGTATTTTTAATATGCTCTTCAAATCTGTGCCAGCACCATGTGCATAAGTAAAAGGCAAAAGCAAATATAAAAGTATGTATACAAACGAGGTGTCTGAGCTAGAGTCAGTTTTAACTGTCAACTCAACACAGCCTGGGGTCACCAAGAAGTGGGTCTTAACGGAGGGGCTGTCCAGATCACACTGGTCTGTGGGGCACTGTCCTGATGGTTAATGGATGCAGGACAGTCTACTGTGGTCCAGCCTTTTCCTGGGCAAATGGAGGTAAGGAAACATGAGCATATCATAAGCAACCTTTCTCCAAGGTTTCTGCTTCAAGTGCCTTTCCTGGCTTCCCTTACCATGGATGAACTGTTAGCTGGGACTGTGAGCCAAATAAAGCTCACACACAACTTCCTCCCCTAAGATGCTTTGGGGCATAATATATCTGCCCCAGCAACAGAATGAAAGAGAACACAGGTAACCAGAAACACACATGATAACTGCATGTGAGTGCAGAATGAAACACTAATGGAACTGCACCCGCCTCCGTCTGGAATGCTGCTGTTCTGTTCACACTGAACTACTGTTACCTGCTGCAATAACCTATCGCCTATGGCTACCACATCACACAGGAGACTCACACAAGCCATGGTCCAGGTGGTATCTCCCAAATCCAACATTTGAAACCACGCTACAGACAAAACAGAACTGAACAATTGATAAAATGCTTGTTTTTTTTTTTTTTTTTCAGAAAAAAAATTAGTAGAGGGTAGATTAAATATTTGATTTTCAAATTTCTTCTCCGCTTGAAGAAAATGGAAAGTCAACAAAACGATGATTATGCAGAACAAACATCACAGGGAAAAGAAATTTAAGATCCAGATCAGGCACATAAATGCCACACTGAGAATATTTTGTGATATGAATGGGGCAAACTTTATAATATTCTTACATAATCTGAATATGATTAATACAATTGGGCAGAAGGAATGCCACAGAGAATTGTGCTTCCTGGTAACAAGTAATGCATACATACTGCTCATTACTGTGTCTACTAGCAGAACACAAGCTTGGAAACAGCAGTATAGACACAGGAAATAGAGTGTAATTAATGGAAAAGACACACGCGGCCATAAATACCCTAAAATTGCATGAAAACACACAGTTATTCTGGGCACCCAAAGAGACACCAAACCGAGCTTTATATTTTATATTGTATGTGAGGTTTATCTTTCTCCTAAGGATTCTGCTTGTAATTATAGAGGCAGCAAAGAAGCAGCAGGGCATTGACCGTGTCATGTGGTCCAAATGACCCAGCTTTCCATTGCTAGTGCCCAAGACTTTCCTATGCAGGGTGTTTTAATCAAATATATGATGCTTTCATAGCTTATATAAGTGTAAGATGAAGAGGCTGTGAAAAGCTGGTTATTAAAGCAATTTTGCATGGATACAGCATGGTTGTAGAGAAAGGAGAAGCAGGCTTTTTTATTTTTGTTTAATTGTTGCCAACTGTTACTTAACCTATCCCACTTAGACTCTCAGTCTTGAATGGAATACTTTCTTCCTGTCACTTACACCTCAACAAGGCAGGACTCTCTAATTCCATTTAATCAAGAGAGATATCAACTCAGCCCAGGAAGAGAGGTAATAAAGGACCCAGTGAAATACACTTGAGACAAATAAAACCTATGCATGAACGGACCTCAAGCTATCACAGTATGTGAAGGCAAAACCCACGTTATAAAGAGTACGGTTAGAAGATGCAGAAGCAAACAATGTTAAAAGTAAAAGTAAAATTCCATCAAATACAGCATCGAGGCACTTCAGAAAGTTGCCTTTCAGTAGACGAGATATTGGGATCCACTGGCTATAGGGATAGGTACTGAACATGAGGCTGTCACACAAGGGTCAGAAAATGTTTCTGAAGCTGAACTTAATAAATATCTGCAAAGGAAAGTAAATTCAGGGGGCTGGAAAAATGGCTCAATAGTTAGGAGCACTGAGTACTATCCCAAAGGATCTGGGTTCAATTCACAGCACCCACTTGGTAGCTCACAACTATCTATAATGCATACAGACAAAATAGCCACACACATAAAGGAAAAATAAAATAAATCTTTTATTAAAAGTAAATTTACATTTTTCTATAATTACACTATAGAAAAGTATAAATATTTAATAAAATAGAAACACGGGATCCAGGTGAAGTTAATTCAAGAATACACTGAAGAGACAAATATCATGAAGTGAGAGCATGCTTGTCCAGGGGCCTCATTTTCCTCAGGAGGAGGGAAGACAAGCTCCTGTCAGGCCTCTCTTCTCCCATCATCCCAGTCA